ATAAGGTGTTCTGTCTTTTTTTTCAGTGGCATGCATTTTCAGTCCCTGAGCTGCAGAACTTCCTGATCATCCTGGAGAAGGAGGAGAAGGAGCGCATGCGGCAGGTGGAGCAGCGTTACGCTGCCTACAGGGAGAAGTTGCTATGGGCTCTGGGTCAAGTCGAGAGCAAACCAGGCTAATGTAGGACAACGAATCTCCTTCACCCCACTGAGCCAACACTGGGCCAGCCTGGAGGACCAGTAGCCCAACAGACGAACTCAAAACCTCCACTCAGGACTTTGTACAAGCTCTCAGCATGCTTCTGTGACCTTTAACCCCCAAAGACGGGCGAAGGGATCGAGACATGACTAAGACGAAGAGGAGGTTGGAACTAAAGATTAGTACTTCAAGAGTAATCCTTCTCTCCAGAAATGGCACACTGTTGAAAGCCCATGAATATGTTTCTGGCAGTCATGCTTTTTGATATGAATGGGTTTCGTTTTGTTTTTTTCTCATTGTTTTTACATTGACCCTGTCTGTTTGTGTTTTTTACATGCTGCTGCTATTGCTGCTACTGCAAGTGTTACTTAAAGCATGACTTTCCCTTTGGTCTCTCTGCTTGTGTCTACCGCATGTCCTCTATCAGGGAATATCTATATGAAAGAGTGGAGTAAAAAAAGCACTTCCTGTCCGAAAAGGAAGTGGGGAGACTTAAGTTATAGAAAATATGATGCCTGCGAAATATCAGAGGACAAATAGTAACCTTGTCCACATATCAAATTATACAGTTCATAAACAGTTGTAACATGCTACTGTAAAAAAAATGAATTATACTGTTTATACTGGAGATTGTTTTAATATAACTATAAACGTACTGTATTACTGATAATGTTTCACCCCACGTAGTCAAAATATCTCTTTCTTTCTATTTAAATGATCAAAATGGCTGCACATCTCTGTCATGAAGCTCACTAGCCACTATATCTATACAAAAAAAGTGTTTGAATAGATATGGGCTGCTGAGCATGTTCAGACGCAGACATTTTGAGCTCCTCTGGTCCCACGTCGACTGCTACTCTCTAGAAAAAGACCGTTCGGTTGTCCCATGAAAGCTTTTAGAAATGCTCAGCACTGACAAATCACCTCAGTCTCTCAAGTGCGCCACCAGTACTTAATGTGCAGGGAGCATCAGTGGACGTGAGGATTGCGGGCTGTGGTTATCTGGTAAGCTTTTCTGAATCACTTTGGCTTTTAGCACATACAGTAATACACAAGGTCATGTTAGATTAGAGGGCATCTCCTAGATCAGCACTCTGAAAAGATCTGCGGATCCAAACCACAAGCATCTCAATCTGTATTACACCAAAGGAAAACAGAACAAGCTCCCTGTATTGTAATTACAAAATAAAGCTTTTATAAAGATCTTTCTGCTAATGTAAAGTGGAGTCAGGATGTCTGTGATTTGCACACCGACACAAACCACTGAGTGGTCCGCCAGTATGTACAGTAGTCAATATTATTCTGTATAGGGAACTTTTTTTTTTTTGGCTTTGATAATAAGCATATTTTATTGCGCGTCTGCTGAATTTTGAAGGTGCATGTGAATTTAATGTATCTGTGACACTGAGGGAATTTATTATTTGTGAAAAGCATTCAAAAGCACTGAAGCGGTTTTCCATATTGGTCGGGAATAACTGTGAACCCACAATTTGATGTTCCATGCACTGATATTTAATTTCTCTTCTCCCTTAAAAGCACATTTACGTCTCAATCTCTCAAATAACCAAACAGGACATCTTTAGCAAGAAGATTTGTGATGGCAGAGGTCTGAGTTATAATTCGGACTGGTATGTTTGTAGAGGCAATTTAAAAGTCATACATTTCCATTTGGATCACTCTGCCCATGTGCTCGGCCTGTATATTTTGATCTTGTATGGGTACAGATCCTGCTGTACTGGAAGTATCACTTCTACTCTAAGCAAGCGGCAGGGCCTTGTATGTCTGCTCAGGATGCTTCTCCCTGACAGCCATGTTCCTGCCGGCAGTGCCTTGAGTCTCCGTGTAGCTTATCTTGACTGTGTACTGTACATATGCTCTAGATGTCCTTCCCTATAACTCCACGTTGAGAGAGTTCACACACATTCAGTGGCAGTAGCCAGGTGCTTTCAACATCTGAGCCATTAAGTCCATGTGGGACTTTTTGGGACTAGTGTTTAAAATGTTGAAGTGTGTGTATGCGTGTGTGTGTGAGTGTTTGTTTTATTTATTTTTGGTTTAGTTTCAGTGTGTGTAAACTTGAATATGTGGACAAATCAGTACTATTGGGCAATCTTTTTTTTTTTTGGAGTATTAAATGTTTAAAATGTCTAGTAAGCTGTAAATATACTGAAGAATGAAATAAAAGGTCACCCTTTCATGGTGATGAGTCTCTTATTTACACTGAAATAAATGAAGCAACTAACTGGGGTTATGAACAAATCTGTAGTTTAAATTATAAATTAAAAAATAAATGTAATTTTAGAAATAATATTTGTGTAAATAAAACAAGGATTATTGGAGTATGTTTTACAAGTCTTTCTACCTAAAAAGTTCATGTTTTATTCAATGTGTTATTTGCTGATGTTTTTGTAATTAGTTGTGAAATTTACTAACAATTTCTGAGTGAAAATGAGTGAAAATCGTTTCTACATCAATTTTTCATTCAATGTACTATATATATATATATATATATATATATATACACACACACACACACACACACACACACAGTGCCGTGAAAAGGTTTTTGCCACCTTCCTGTTTTTTTTTATTTTTTGCATAGGACTATTTGTCACACTTAAAAGATTCAGAAATTATTACAAAATAAATGTATATTTTATTAAAATTAAAAACCAGTTTAGGTGCATGATATTACATTTTCACCCTTTTTAGGTTTAAAAATCATGGTAATATTAAATTCTGCATCACAAACTTTTACTTGCTATCTTGTATTATGTGACTGATATAAGTTAGCGTAATTGTTTTGTTTTTTTATCTATAGAAAATTGACCAGTTTTAATACTAGTGTAGCATCAAGGTTGCACAAGTCATACACAACCAGCAGAGGGAACCCTAATCACGTAGTTTAAATGCAAACACATCTTGCTCCTAGTGCAAAAGATGTCCAAAGATTATTTGTAATAGAGAGAAGCATAGTTAGATACTGTGCATACTAAAATATGTATTTATATGGTACTGTGTAGCAGTACAACTACAGCAAGGTGCAAGCACTATGTTTTCACAACTACTCCGTTGTGTCTAGAACAAATAAGAAAAGCCAAGGGTCAGAAAGTGCATTGTGCATGTTTGTGTACACATGGCAGTTTACAAGAAAAACATGCTACTTTCAGTTGTACACTCAGTTTGAACCGGCTCCACACTTTAAATAAACACTCAGTAAAATCCACCTACAGGTTCAACAGCATGTCCATACTTGGAAAAGTCTTGCAATATTTTAAGGACACCCAGAAACCTTTTAAGTCCCCACAAAAAGATAGCAGTTGTGAGTGTCCATCATAATGTTAAAGAGCCCTGATGTGAGTGCTCACACCCATTCAGTCTGCTACTGAGAGGTCAGCCTGAAAACAATGTCAATATGTCATCTAAAGACACAAATATAGACAGGTTTCAGCTTCCCCTAAGACTGACTGCTAAGAATAGCATACTCTGGCTGCGGTCCTGTTGTAAGCACACCCAATTTAGCTTGACATGTCTCACCATATCACCCCTGTCACCCCTGCATGTGCTCTTCTGCCTGTGCTGATCTATATCTGGGCTGTAAAGAGTTTGACAACAGCACCAGACTTGCCAAGGCGATTTAGGATATGCAGCACAGCTTTGGATCACACTAGGATTGTTGTGTTTTGATATTTTCCATATTTATCTTGCAATAAATCTTATAACTTTGTTTTGGAGATTGCTGTTTTAGTTGTGCCATCCATCTAAGTAACTTCATACTTCAAAATTCTAAATTTCAACAAAAAATCTTCCACTTACATTGATTAAAAGTTTGCTATTCAGTGATGCCATCATCATTTTTTGAATAGGAGTCACAGTTGGTCTTCTTTTTTACATTAATTTGCATACTGTTTTTTTTTTATCTCTATATAGGCCATTTTAAACTGCTAAGTGGACACAATGGACACAATATTGCATATTAGCTATTATCACTCTTTGTCTCTGTATGTGAATTTGCATCTTTTGTAGTTATTTAATAATTTAATTACAGCATTATTATTGTGTTACTGGAAATGCAAATCTAAACGTAAAAATGCAAATGCAAAAAAGTACCAGTGTATAAAACCAACTGAAAATGGTGTCAGTTCACTTACAGTATCTATCAACATTGTATTTAATAATAATATTACACACTCCAATAATCATTTTGTTTTACATATACCAGTCACTACAGTATTGTTTGAAATTGTGAAAAAAAATAATTCTAAACGAATAAAGAAAAAGAAATGGTTTTCAGTCAGACCTTTTTATTTAATGTATAGAACCTCCTTAATGATATTAATCAAATCTTTTTTTCTGTTTCACCATGGCCCTTTAAACATTTATATGCCCTTTAAAGCATGAACAAAGTCCTTTTCCAAGAAAACACACTGTCTCGTATATGACTAGTATCACTCAGCTGTAAAATAGGCCTAATAATAATAATAATAATAATAATAATAATTAAAACTAAATTTAATTTCCTCTTACAGTTTTCTGCCAGTCTAAAACCTATGCTCGTAAATAAAATATAAATGAAAAATGATGTAATCGTCATTGCTTGAAATCACATGAGTAATTTATATTCATGTTCTAGTTTCGTTGTGTTTATGTCTTGATTTAAACTCCCTCTCCAGTAAATAGCCCCATTTTGGCTCAACAGGCATTTACTTCCTTGTGTCTTAGCCCAATTGTTAAGCCTTGAAACTAAAGGAAGTTTGAGCCAGAATGGCGTTGTTTTGGCCGCGCCCCAGGCAGACGCCTGTTTGATGACGTCGCGCTGGGCGAAGAAGACGCTCTTAGCAACAAGCTAAGAAACCACACATCTATACGCGCACCATTACGAGACGGAACGCGCATCCAAAACACTCAGACGATTCGCGAGAACACTTGTTTGACATGACGAAAAGTGTTCGGAAGGGATTGTGAGTTAATTTGACCTGCTTGTTTTTATAATGAAAGTAAGGTAGGCTTGTACTATCCGGAAAAGAGGAAACGCTAGCCTGAGCTTTAGCTGCCCGCTGGACCGTGTGCTCGGGCTGGGATGACTCTTCTTTTCAAACCAACAACACGATATTTAAGAGAGGGGAAGAGTGGAGGTGGTCGACATCCGTTTGATGTTTGGACTCAATCTAATTGTGCTTTAGGAAGACAGTTTGCCATTACGGAAACGCTTTTGTGTCCCCTGCAACTTTGAGTCTTCATCATCATCATCACCATAGTTATTATCGAGGACGACCGCTTCTCACTACCATTATTTGGTTTCTTCTGATGTATTTGTGAATTTATGCACATCCAGCTCCATTATCTATGGGTTCGGACCTTCTTGCTGGAAATACAGATACCTCTGTTACACTACTTCTCCAGACTTGCAATACAGGTGGTCAAATTGATAAGCCTCGTGAAAACAGCTTAAAGGGGATCATGCCTGCACCCCGCAGCACTGTGAAATCGTCTATCTAGCCTCTGAACAACTGACAAGCTTCACCTCGGATATGAGACTCTGTTGATATTTTAATAATCTCATTAGAAGGACACTGCATTGTTGTTTTGGATGGATCTTGCGGTAGTGAAAAATTTTTTCAGAGGAAAAAGAAATATTTGATGTTGACTGCATGCAACCATGATGATATTGAGCAGAAAACCAGATGGCCCCATAACTGCAGGTAATTATATCCATATGAAATGTAATATCCAGCTCTGTGAGTTTGCTGTGGCTGGTCTTGGTTCCCTTGGCAAGTGAAGACTATTTGAAGACAGCCGATTAACTCTTACGAATGCGCTGCCTGTGTTAATAATTCGTTGTTAATGTACTAAAGTAAGCAAATTTAAACAAGCTTCACAATCACATCTTTTTTAAATTCCAGTTTATAAAGCTGTCATATGTATGCCAGCAGTGAAAATTCATTGGAAAGTGAGAACAATAGTCCCTACAGGCCATATTATATACATATGAACAGTTTATTCAATTGACATCTCAGTAAATGATAGTAAGGGGGTCTGAATGCTCAATAGGTGTATAGTATGTGAGGGGTTGTGTAGTTGAACATATATCAAAATGCCAAGATTGTTTAGTTTTTATAATGTTTTAAACCATTCAGTGCTAATTTCATCAACCATGTAGTAATCCAGCCTACTGGATTCATTATTTTAAAGGGATGCTCCTCCCAAAAATGAAATTGTAATTTTTGTTTCTTTGTTTCACTTTCATTATTTACTCACCCTCATGTTCTTCCAAACTTTGATTTATCTCATGTGTAACACAAAAGAAAATGTTTGTAAAATGAGTCAGTGCTTTTTGTCTGTACAATACAAACCAATGGGGTTCAAAACATCATTATACTCTCATTGTACAGAAAAATAAACATTATTCAAAATATCTCCATTTGTGTTCCACGGAAGAACTAAAGTCATGCAGGTTTGGAGTGACACGAAATTGTCACTCATTTTTGGACGGAATTTGCCTTAAGGCAAAAGTGGTCTAAGTCATTAAGACGTTTTAATAACATAATCGGTCAGAGTTGTGGAAACTGCTGAAACTGAGTCATGAAGCTTGGTTTAATATGTAGCCACCTGCTGTGTAATGTGCTCAAGGAACTGTCTGTTGTCTGGCGCACCTGCAACTTGGTTACATACCTCCCTAAGGGGATTTGTGTTTCTCAGATGGGAACATTGTTTTTTTTTTCTCCTTATATTTGTGTAATAGAAATCCTCATTTATGTAATGGGTGTATTGGATGATGATGGTGTGGCAAATGTGTATTAATATTTCACAATCTAATCCCAGGCTCATTTTCACTCGTTCTCTACAGCTCGCCACGGGGACAGTCTGTATGACTCCTACATGCGCACTGATCACATTGTGAACCAGGACGCTGATGTGAATGGGCAGAGTCCCTCTGGACTGCCCCCTCTCCCCAAACACACTGTAAGTCCTGACTTCCTCTTCCCCCAGATTCTGTCACCGGATTCTTTCAGCGAGCACTAGATGAAAATATTTCCCTAGTGCTCGCATGAACAGTTCTAAAGAACACAATTCAATTCTAAAGAACAGCTTGAAAATCTAACCCACTGTGATGTCTCTTGTATATTAGTTTTTCGATCTCTGATCTTTGAGCTTAATATGTTCAAATATTTTTTCACCCCCTAAGCACATGTTCCGCTGCCACTTGTGCATCTTGGAATGTCTCATATTTAGACAAGCCTTCTTTCCTCATTCTGATAGTGGTACAAGTTACATCTGCAGCACATCAAGTCTGTTTATGTGCTATGATACGCCAACGTGGGACCGGATATGATAAAGGATCTGATAATCCGATTCTCCGCTGTACTATTATGCAATAAGTAATTCTGCGTATGTGTTGGATCTGGTGACATTATTTTCAGTTATGAGACTATAATCACTTCTTTGCGTGCTAATATACTGGACTTCTGTGATCATAAGGACAAGAGCAATATAATTGTTTTTTACCCGCAGTGAATAATTAACCAGCAATCGCTCTTCCGTAAATGTTCAATAAACAATCCGGGAGGGACGACTTTGATTTTCTGGCATTTGGGGTACAAGCAATCATAGCAGCTTCCAGTAGTTCCAATCATTCAATTAGCCACTGACACAACAGATTTCATTTAGGTCATGCAGACATGCACTCCTTGTTTAGTCAACCAAGCTCTTTTTGTTGTGATTGAACAGCTGATGCATTTGGCTATGTAGTATCCTTCAGTTCCCAACATGCTGGTTTCTATTTTTATCTCACTCCTTGGAACTGCCTTTCCATGCCCCCTCCCCCTCTAAAACAATTGGCACAGTTTACTAGGCACCTTATAATTCTATCTGCATTACCTCATTTTTTTGTCCTTTGCTTTCTTCTTTTTCTTCTTGTGCTATATTCAGCCAAACAGGCAATGTCTTGGCCTCAACTATAAATCTTTGATAGTGGAATTTTTAAATAGGAATGGGACTTGGAGCAGTTATGGTACATTAAACATTCTGAATGTGAAAGATGGTTCTTCTATTCCCGTTCACTTAGGAAAGCCCACTGTGACTGGCGTAAGCAACCGCTATTTATGACATGCTTATTTTGTAAGGCAAAAGTTCAGTGCATATTTAATGATATAGTTAGGTCTAGTGGCAATTCTTTAACCATGGCGAGAATTCTTTCCAAGCGCTGTGCTAAAAGTATGTGTAGAAATTTCCACATCGTTTTGTTTTCCCAGTCTACTGAAATGCAGTTAGTTCTATATTTAAATTGCATTTCTGTTTTTTTTTTTGAACGTTCAGCATGTTAGCAGGTCTTAACAATTAGACTCTTGTCTTTATAGGTTTTTCCTGTATCCCATGTGAGTATGAAAATAACATCCTGTTCCACCAGTTTTCAGGTCACGTTCCAGTCAGACTGCAAAGATTGTGTCTGGCATTCTCTGTCGCCACAATTATCACTGATGCATCAAACCCCTCCACTGGTCTCATGTTAATTCCCAGGGTTACTCAGCAGCTGATCAATTCTGCACGTTTGCACTATTGATTGTTTAACACTGGCCTGATAAAACCTCAGAGTTGCAGTACATTGATTGTTCAGTTCTACGCAGAAGTTAGAAGCAATAAAAGGAAGCTTCCCTTTGATTTTGAACATCCATTCAGCTGAAAATAATGTTGACTTTGGTCAACCTCATTTTTGTCTTATACAACTTGATGTAACTGTTTGACAAACCGTTAAATATCTCTTTCCTTTTGAAGGGTGTGAACAAGCCTACAATGAAGGATCACCAAGCAATCCGCGGAGGACAGGTGAAGGTGAAATATGTTTATGAGGACACCTACAACCGCAAACTTAATGGTGTGAGCCAGCACAATGGCACAAGCCAAGTACCAGCTAAGCCCCAACCTGCAATCTCCAAAGAGAGAAGCGTGGACAGCAACAGCTCTGTCAAGTCCTCAGAGAGCTCAACAAAAGTCACAAAGCTGGGTAGCCCAATGACCCCAGAACAAGCTCTTAAGCAATACCGGCAGCAACTGACTACCTTGGAGCAGCAGGAGATCCACAACTATCCTGAGATATATTTCCTGGGACCAAATGCCAAGAAAAGGCAGGCAGTAGCCGGGGGCACCAACAATAGTGGATACGACGACGACCAGGGAGGATACATCCACGTACCTCATGACCACCTTGCCTATCGCTATGAGTTCCTCAAGGTGATCGGCAAAGGTAGTTTCGGACAAGTGGCGAAGGTTTATGACCACAAGTTACAGCAGCACCTTGCCTTGAAGATGGTGCGAAACGAGAAGCGCTTCCATCGGCAAGCTGCTGAGGAGATCCGAATTCTGGAGCACCTGAAAAAGCAAGACAAGACAGGCAGCATGAACGTAGTCCATATGTTGGAGAATTTCACCTTCCGCAATCACATATGTATGACTTTTGAGCTGCTTAGCATGAACCTGTACGAGCTCATCAAACGCAACAAGTTCCAGGGTTTCAGTCTCCCACTGGTACGCAAGTTTGCACACTCTATTCTCCAGTGCCTGGAAGCTCTCCATCGCCATAAGATCATCCACTGTGACCTGAAACCAGAGAATATCTTACTGAAGCAGCAAGGCAGGAGTGGGATCAAGGTCATTGACTTCGGCTCCAGCTGTTTCGATCACCAGCGTGTTTACACGTACATCCAGTCCCGCTTCTACCGTGCGCCCGAAGTCATCTTGGGATTGCGATATGGTATGCCTATAGACATGTGGAGCTTTGGTTGCATTCTGGCAGAGCTGCTTACCGGATACCCTCTGTTTCCTGGTGAAGATGAAGGTGACCAGCTGGCCTGCATGATGGAGCTACTAGGTATGCCACCTCAGAAACTGCTGGAACAAGCCAAGCGTGCCAAGAACTTTATCAGCTCCAAAGGCCACCCACGCTACTGTACGGTCAGCACACTTAGCAATGGCACTGTAGTCCTCAATGGGAGCCGTTCTCGCCGAGGAAAAATGCGAGGTCCCCCAGGAAGCAAGGAGTGGGGGGCGGCGCTCAAAGGCTGCGATGACCCCACGTTCATTGACTTTCTGAAGAAGTGTCTGGATTGGGACTCTAGTACTCGGATGACACCAGTTCAGGCCTTAAGACACCCCTGGCTCTACAAGAGACTGCCCAAGCCTGCACCTGGTGGAGAGAAGTCCACAGCGCCCAAACGGATCACCGAGCACAGCACCTCTTACCTTTTCGCACAGTGCTGCCGAAGCTTGTTTCATAGAGATTCCTTAGCTTTTCAGGGATAAAGACATATGTAGCAGTTTTAGAAGTGGATTTTTCCCCCTTTGTTTTGGTTGTTTTTTCTAAATGAGTGTGAAAACTCAAGAGTTTCAATTTTTAATGAAGTGTAACAAGCAAAAACAATTTTATACAACTATACTGTATTGTTATCAAATGGCCTTCAGCGTGTAAAATGCAAAGTTGACATCAGGGCTGTTTTCTTTACACCTTGGTCTTGAATTGAGTGCTGTTGATTGGAGTGGGTGAAATTTTGATGCTGACTGCTCATCCTGCCCTTTCTGAAGTTTACACTACTTCTGCTCAGACAAACCTACAACTTTTGCATCTCTAAGGGCTGTTTTGCTAGTATGTGACTCTTAATATTCTTTTCAAGGGCTTAGAGTGGATTTTTGCAATTTTAGGTCAAACATCTGAATCTAATCTTCATTTAAAACAATTTAAAATGTCTAGTTGGTGTTTTAAAGCCTATGTTATCATCTTAAAAATGATCCTGATCTAATTCAGATGAGCACATTTCTTATTATAACAGTATCCTCCCCCTGTCACCTGCATCCCAGTGTGAGGTCAAACTCTGTTTATTATTTGAGAAGCTATTGCTTTGGATAAGTTACCCTAGAACAAGATGAAGAAAGTTATATTTGTTTGTAAGTGGTAGAGTAATGTAGGTCACAGTGCTTTCTGATGGCCATGCCCATTCCTGGCATGTATTGGGAGAGATGGGCACTATTTCATAAGTGTCGTAGGAACGTGTTTTTATCAGTGCTGTATTGAAAGATATTAGTCAGGTTTCACTTGAAGGCAACAGGCAGTATCACGTGTTTGTCTGTACATGGTAGTATGTATTTCCCCTAAGCTGCTGGTGGGGGAAGGGAATTGTTGGCAATATTTTCAATAACAGTGTGCTGTTTGCACTGAGTGATGATGGATTTAGCTAGTGTGAGGACTTCATAAGCATATTCAAAATACTAGCTAACAAAAGGTTGAAGATACATCTTTTGAGATTGCATTTGACCTATGAACCTCTCCCTTGTCCAGTCATTTTTAATGTTTAGTTTTTGTTTTGTTAGTAACCATTCTTGCCATACATACTGTGAGAGAAAATATATTTAAAAAAAAAACAACATGACTAAAGATATAATTAATGCAGGGTACTTCCCCTCCCCCAGAGCTTAGCATCCGTACATGGAGTGGTTAATTTCCAGTGACTCTGGTTGATTGTGTAGTAGGGCTGTCAAAATGGCTAAAAACTAAATTCGAATTTTGTACTTAAATGTTATCAAAATTCAAATTATATTCACATTTAAAATGCGTAATTTCAGTCAGGTTGGAGAAAAGCTTTTGGATTCTCTCCTGAGGCCACAAGAGGGCGCATCGAGCAAAATATTACTAATGCACGTTTCTTCAAAGCATAAGATAACATGACTATCTGTGAAAAAAGTGCACAATGTTTAAAATAATGTTTATAAACCAATTATAATTAAGTTGCTTAAACAACTATAAACAAAACAGCATCATGTATGTATGCATAGTTTAATACAAATGGCCGAAAGCCAATCACACAGAGTACATTTTTCATTTAAAAACACGAGTTGAAGTGGGATGGGGAAAAACCCCACCATAAAGTCTCGAGATATGTTTTTTCAAAGTTGAACTTGCATTAATTTTTCATGGCTTTATAAAAATGCGGCTCTTTTGTGCGAGACGCGAGTGCAACGGTGATAGATGTCCCTCTAGAAAATGCGCGAAATATGCGTTCTGTGTGAACGGCTTGGTTTCAGTTTTGACGTAAACAACATCATCTCCGCATTGATGTTCTCTTTTCCCGCAATATTTGTAATTAACACAGCAGCGCCGCATCTAGTGGCTTCAACTGAATAGGCTAAGAAAAACATTAAAATGCAATGACACTTACATCGTCATCGCATCTCGTGCGCCACTGATAAGGCTGCCTCCTTAACGCACACATTCGAATGCAACGTTTTTGCATTCGAATGTGGATTTTTATTTTAAATTCGACGAATATTCGAAATTCAAAAAAATTTTTGACAGCCCTATTGTGTAGTCTGAAATATCTCTTCATAGTGGCCTACCATTTTGTTCCCTTTCACTCTAGGTTTACAAGAGAATCTTGTTCTTTATACAGCCGAGCACACAGCACATTCACCCACCCACAATGGCGCTGGTCAGTGTCTGCACTTTGAGTATTTGTACATGTGAACCCACTATCAGCACAAACGATATATGCATTTGGTTGTTCGGAAGGTTGTATGATCTAACGTAAGCATGTTTTTTGACACTGCCTCACTCTTTCTAGCTGTGAATTTAACATAATGTTTAGAAGCTAATTGTTGGAAGGTAAGACACTAATCTGCTGAAGGACTGTGAAACTGAATGGCGCTTAACTCATTGGCCCTGACAGGTGTGTACAAAGCATCTGTGTGCTACCTGGACCAAGTGGATACCAGGCAAGTAGTTGTAAAAGTCCTCTTAATTGGAAAAACAACATTGTCTTTTCACACCTCTTTCTCAGGTTTTAACCTTCCTTTGGGGTTTAATGGACAGTTAAATATGATTCCACACACCTAGTGGGTGTAAAGATGGTGATGATTTGGCTCTCAATAAAGCTGGGTTTCAGAAAAGCTTTATAGCTTAAGAGATGTTGGTGCTCAAATTAGACTATAAACTCCAGGCCTCTATGGTGTCTTTGTCCATTCGTAATCATTTTTGGGTTCATACGTGGTCTCCTGCAAAGTTTCAGTTGTTCTGTGTATTTTTGGAATACATCAGGGAAAAGTTTCCAGGCAAAAGTGGTTTCAGTGTTGTTTTTCTACCTCTTTCTTGCTTGTGAAATCCATCTTGTATGCTGTAGAGAGATATCTACCACACAAATAACAGCATCTCGCTCCACATCTTTCTACTTCGCTTCAGCGTTCCTGCCTGTTTGCGTTATCCTGAATTTTTTACCAAAGCACCCGTTCACTTGTCTCTTTGTTGTTCGTCTTGGTGCGTGGACCCCTCGGTTTGGGGGGAATCTAGTCTTGTGCCTTTAACTGAACACACTTGACTAAATCAACACTAAGCACGGGATGACTAATGTTTTTCTTCCAGCTTTAATGGTCAGGTTTTTGTATTGCTTTTATTTCACCCTTTTATAGAGTTTTTACTGTTACTCGTGTTTTAAAGAGAAGTGAAAGAGATGATGTAATTTTCCTTCTAACTTTGTCTCTTAGCTGTTGGCTATGTGGTTCAGAGCATGATAATCACAGAACGCATGAAAATAAGTGATAAAGTGAAACAGGAATAAATGACAAGATTTAAATAATGACAAAGTGTAAGTAACCAAATGAGCTTGTATTAGTTTCTTTTCTAAAAAAATAAAATAAAATCAATATTACCAGTCTTTTGTTTGAAATGTCTGTTTTTACATTTTTTTTTTTTTTGTTACATTCAAAGGTTCTCAAAAATGAGAATTGGCATCTTTCCTTATTTAAGGTGGCATAAATTGAAAAACTCAATATCAAACCTTATCTACTTTGTAAATGTATGTAATAAATTAATCTTTCATCCATGTATTTCATTTTATGAATTTTATTTTTGTTCAATCAAAATTGTTCAATATGCCAGATTTTCCAATCATTAAGCCCATATACATATACACTCAAGACTGCATTCCTTATTTATTTTTTTATTTTTTTGAGTACAATAGCAACATGTCAAAATCCATTCTCCGACCTACATTTTTTTTCTTTTTGGGTAATTCGTTACTGTTGGATGTACGTGAAAAAGTACAGGATCTAGTGCTACTTCAGTTTCAGTGTAACTTTAAGCTATTTTAACTTTAAGCTGTTTTAACTATTTTAAAAACTAATTTTTAACTTTTAACTGGCAAACTTTACTCAACAAACCAGCAGGCTCCTCAACACACCTATGAAATACAATACTATGTAGGAATGTGCACTAAAACATCATTACAATTTGTATGAACATTATTTGCATACTTACGTTATTCATGACATAAGTGTGCATAACTTCTAGAAGTCGTAATTGGTCTTTGCGTGAAAGTTTTAACTGTCTTGTCCAAAGTATTCAAGAGGTGCTTTGTACAGGTCCATAGTTTTAATACACTTGGAGTCAGACTCATATAAACAAGCCTGGCCTCATTTTAAATACTGATGTGATAAACAACAGATCACCTTATAAACCGTGTAAACAAATGGGAGCATCACCTGCATTTCTAACTACATATCTGAATAGTATGTACGTGCGCGAGATGAAATCAAATCAGGCAGCTCGTGCATAGTAATCTAGTTCATGTGGATTTGGTTATGCTGTTTTCAGTTGCTTTAAGACTCCTAAAGTTTTGTCTTGTCCTTGTATTCACTTTTCCAATCTTTATAAAACTGAAATTATAGATCTAAATGGCAGTATTGGCTTGGTTGAATTTCCAAAATGTATAGATTATCCCAGACACAAAAGTAGGTCATTAGACAAAGTGATGTGGAGACACAACAGGATACTTGAAAACAGTAACAGGAGGTCTGGATATATTCAAAATTAGACATTGTTTCTCTACAAGGCAATATATGAATGTGTGTTTGCAAGACTGTGATCTCCAGCCTCACTGAAACTTGTTGAAACTCCCCTGAGGGCAGCAGCAGAGAAGGCAAATCGGTAGGTTGGTATGTACATATGGTGAGCTCATAAACATACCACTATATTTACATGGTAAAAACAGATGTGTCCTGTATTGGAACAACAGGGAAAATTATTTAATCATTTTATGTACCAATATCCCACTTAGTCATCATATAATTTGTCATTTAGGTGATTTTGAGGATCTTGGTACATTTGTAATGGCAAAAATATCCAAATCAATTAAATCACCGTGCACTACCTGGAGATGTAAGTAGGTGTAGCAGCTTAAGCTGGTTGGTTATTTTTTTCTTCGTTACCAAAGGCTAATACAGAGTATGCATTGTGTACAGGTGTCTCATTTGACATACGT